ATCCTTGGGCTAGGATGGCAGTCAATGTTCCACTCATACATACAGTCTTTATAGATGCCCATTATTAATGGGCAAGGATGGCTGTCAGGTTTCTGTTCACACACATAGCATCTGCATGTGCCTCTGCAGATACTTACTGGCAAAAAGGGAGGATGGTGTTGCTAGGTGTCATGCATAATAGTGTAAAAGATTGGTATTTTTAAAGTGTTTAGCTAGTGTAGAGTTGGCATTGTCAATAGGGTTTTGTTCTGCAGGTCAGCAACCTTCTCAGCCGTTTTGATAGGAAAAGCAAGTATACTTCGGATGTTTTGTTTTTTTGTTATTGTTTAGGGTTTTGGTAGTTATTTGCACTTGGTGACATTTCTAATTTCAAGCTTCTCAGGTGCTCAGATTGGAATATATGGGAAGACAAAACAACAAAACACCCAGTTCTCCACCAGGGAACTCACCAGTGGGCTGGGTTTTTCCTCAAATCCCAAGGTCAATCCAGTTGACCTTCATTTTTCCAACTTGCAGTTTCTTTCTTATATTTGCTCTTCTGCACATGTGAGATTTTTTTTCCCCTTGCTTCTAAGATTCTCTCTTTATCATGGATTTTAATCAATGTAGTTATGAGTCCCTGGGAATAGTTGCCTCCCCGACCCCACTGCCACTCCCCTCTGCCTTGTTACTTGTGCTTGGGATGGGTTGAACTTAGATCTTTGGGTTTACAGTTTTCATCAAATTTGGGAAGTTTTCAGCAATTATTTCTTCAATTATTTTTTTGTCCCCTGCCCATTCTTCCTATCTTTCAGGGATCTCTACTACACATAATTAGGCTAGATGAAGTTATCCCACAGCTCTCTTTTCATTCTGTTTTTCTGTTTCAATTATATAGTTTTTATTGCTATGTCTTCAAGTTTACTAATGCTTGCTTTTGGAATGTTTGATTGATTAATCCTATTAACTGTATTCTCAGACACTGTTGTTTTTAACCTCTTGATTTGTTTGAGTCTTAAATATTTTCCACATCAGTACTTACCAAGATCAATCTCTCTTGTTCCTTTTTGGACATGCAGGATATAGTTTTGTACTGCTAGTATCTATTAACAAATACAAAATCTTGTAAATCAAATACAAAATCTATTTTTGTCATTTCTGGATGTATTTCTATTGATTTTTCTACTTATTATAGTCGTGTGTGCCTGCTTATAAAACTTATTTGCTACCAGACAGTATGAAAGTTACCCTCAATATCCTTGGTATTTTTACATTTCTATAAATATACTCAAGTTTTGTTCTGGAATATACTGATGATACTTGAGAACAGTTTGTTCAAGATTTGCTTTAAGCTCTGCTGGGTAGGACCAGGAAAGCCTTAGTCTAGTGCTAGCTTGCCTCTCTACTGAGGCAATAGCTTTTTGAGTAATCTAACCAGTACCCTGTGAATTATGAAGTTTACCATTCTTGTTCATGGGGACACAAACAATTCCTGACCCTGTGTGAGCTCCAAGGATTGCCTTTGCTCTTAAGCATTTCTTTTGCTGGTCATAGGTGGTCTCCTTAATCCTCTGAAGTGATTAGAACTTGACTGAATACTCTGCCCTGCAAACTTTAGCCATCACTGCCTCCCTGGAATCTCAGCTCCATCTTTTCTACTTAAGGGAGTTACAAATCTTTATATTACCCCTCCCAGTGCTGAGATGTGGAAATGCTCTCTAAGCAGTACACTGGGTCAAATGTATGGACATTTGTTTGTTTATACTTCGTTAGGCATGACCATTCTGTTGTCTGGTGTCCAATGTCTGAAATCATGTATATCTCATATTTTATCTAGTGTTTTGTTATTTTAGGCTGGAAGGTAAATCCAGCCTGTATTATTCCCATTTTTGACTGCAAACAATGTTAAAAGAAAAAAAATTCTGTGCTTAAGAATTGAAAGAAAGCAGAGCTTCCATATACCATTCTCCCAATTTGCCTAATACTAACATTTTACATTACCATAGTATAATGATGGAAACCAGGATATTAACATTGGGCACAATACTGTCAAACAAATGACAGGCCTTGATTGGCTTCCATCAAGTTTTCTCCACTGATTTTCCAAAAATTGAATTCACAATCCTATGTTGTATTTTGTTCCCTTTCCTTTTATAACCTGGGAAGGTTATGAAGTTTTGGAGAACTGGGCAAGTTATTTTACAAAAGGTTCTGCATTTTGGATCTGCCTGCAGTTCCCTCATTATTAGGACATAGTTATGTATGTTTTGGTCTTCCCAGATGGCACAGGTGGTAAAGAACCTGCCTGCCAATGCAGGAAACATAAGAGACACGGGTTCGATCCCTGGGCTGGGAAGATCCCTTGGAGGAGGGCATGGCAACCCACTCCAGTATTCTTGCTTGGAGAATCCCATGAACAAAGGAGCCTGGCGGGCTATGGTCCATAGGGTCACAAAGAGTTGGACATGACTGAAGTGACTTTGCACATAGCACATGCATGTTTTGGTGAGAATACTACCCAAGTATTTGCCCTTCTTAGTGAATCACCTTGATACCAATGTCACTATTGGTGATTATTTGGGTAAAGGGGCTGTATGCAATGTTTTATCTTTGTAATTAAATACTTGGGAGAGATATTATGAGATAATTCTAATAACCCATTTTTCCCTTATACTTTCACCTTCATATTTACCATCCATCAATGGATTTTTTTATATAATTATAAAATTATGGTGATTTTCTATTTTCCTCATTCCCTTTATAAAGTAGAATTCTTCATCATTAAATTGAACCAGAATTCCTTCTTTGGGGTAGCTAATTTCATGGTTCATGGCAGCAATAAACAGGATAGGTCAGGAACATCTTGTATTTAGGGGGAAAAAAAAAGCAAAGCTTCCAAGTAGTGTAGGGAACATGTGGAAAGGATAAAGGAGGAAATGAAAAAAAACAAAATGGAAACAAGTAAAGTTTTGTCAATTAAAGCACCATGAGCAAGAATCAAAAACAACAGTTTACAACAACAATTATATTCTGGTTTATCAGATTAGCAGACTGTGAAGTGACAGGAGCTCATAACAAAGTTCAAAGAAAAATATTAATGATATATTTCCAAAATGTAGCTATAATCACAAATAAGGGAGACAATAAGAATATGTTATATTAATTTTTTAATTTATTAGTGTTTCAAAAAATAAGTGTCAAGACACCTGTTTATTTTACTTGTCATTAATTTTAAGTTTGTAGATAAGGTTTAGATAGCTCATTGTTTTAATTTGTTCAAGGAAGCAAAAAATATTAAACCACATGAAGAAGTGTGGAGCAAGTAGTTCTGGAGTACTACTCTAGAAGAGGGAAATTAATCAGCACTGATGGTAACTTAGAATAACCAGGTGGAGTAGGATAGAAGAGTAACTCACCAGTGTGGTGACATGATAGCTCAGTAAGTAGAGTGAGGTATTAGTAACAATATTAATAATTATAATACAATTGAACTATTTCAAAGATATGAAATAGCAAGTATCCTAATAAGGGTAGTAACAGAGACTCATTCTTTTACTCTGTAGGGCATGAACTATCAGTTATATACTTTTATTAACTGCTAGTTTAAATAAAATACTAATAATTAATATGTAAGGGAAGCATAGCTCAATATACCCAATTAGAAAACAGCTTACTTACTACTGCTGATCATGCAAAACTGGGCAGGGCACCAATCTCAAAAATTAGAATCTAATGAATGATAGTGATGTAAATATATATAAATATAACAGGTAAATATTATTATAAAAAATCTAATAATCAGTGTGGCTTTTGATCACTTTGATTAACAACCAGGTCAACTGTCCTAAGAAAGAGATGATGGGTGGTTAAGATTTGCAACCTTATTAACTGTCTTATTTTCTTTTTCGTCTTTTTTTTTTTTTTTCTGAGTCAGCTGAGACTGCTAAAATCAAAGGTCTACTGATAGTCCAACTGCCAACCACAGTAAGACAACACTGAGTAGGAATAACAGGGAAAATTATAGTTATAAAACCCAATCAAAGCCATTCAATAGTAGTGTTTATAAACCCCCTTTATTTAAGTTTAGTGATCAATTTATAATCCTTGCAATAGCTGTAAAGTTTCCCCTCCATTTAAAGCTACTAAGAGACTGCTAAGATTGGGTTAGAATATTTTATGAAATATTTAAAATGCCATTTCATTTGGATCCTGACTGGTACTGCCTAGAGGTGAAAAGGTTCCTTAAAGGAATTGTGTTGCAGGAGGTATTTAGGGAAATCTGTTGTGTCAAAACAACATAGAAATTCAAAAAGAACTCAAACATTTGATGATAATGGAAAGTTTAAACATCTACCATTAAAACAAAATCAATAGAAAACAAAACAAATCTACACAAACACCTTGCAGGACCACAATACTTTAAAACCACATAGTATCTGAGAGTTCTGGCTCTTTGGAGAAGATAAGTATACCATACATAACAAGCAAAAAATTAGAATGCAAAAGATATATCTGAGCAATATTACAGAACAGTAAGCCAAAAACAATAAATAGCCCAAAAAAACAAAAACACAAGCACCAAAAGTAACTGTAAGCAAAACATCCATGGATAAACTCATATGAAAATAACTCAAATAATTGATAATTACAGGAATACATTTCTCACACATTTAAAAAATGGATTAACTGGGACCATCCTATGTGAATGGATATTCAGAATGTTGATTGATATAAAAAGGAGAAATATTTGGCAATATTGAACAAAGCTGAAAGTATTTATCACTTATGAATGAACAATTCTGCTTCTAGAATGGCCATAAATTCTGAAAACAGATTTAAAAGAGATTGAATCTTGTCAATAAATACACAGGTTGTTTTCAGTGAAACTCAGAAACAAATAGGCTTTATATATGTCTTTCATTCAAAAGACTCCTCCCTAGTATAACTTATTCGGTATCAAGTAAGGTTCCTGCCCATACTATAAGCATTACCACATTCCTTACATTCATAGGGTTTCTTACCATTGTGAATTCTCTGATGTTTTGTAAAGGATGAACTATGTCTAAAGGCCTTCCCACATGCTTTACATTCATAGGGTTTCTCTCCAGTATGAATTCTCTGATGTTCAGTAAGGGCTGAACTGTGTCTAAAAGCCTTCTCACATACCTTACATTCATATGGTTTCTCACCACTATGAATTCTTTGATGTTGAATAAGAGCTGAAGTAAGTTTAAAGAACTTTCCACACTCTTTACATTCATAAGGTTTCTGACCACTGTGAATTCTCTGATGTCGAGTAAGTTCACTACCTACTCCAAACGCTTTCCCACATTCCTTACATTTATATGGTTTCTCGCCAGTATGAATCCTCTGATGTCTGGTCAGGGGTGAACTATTTCTAAAGACCTTCCCACATGCCTTGCATTCATAGGGTTCCTTACCAGTATGAATTCTTTGATGTCGAGCAAGTTCTCTACAGACTCCAAGTCTTCCCACATTGTTTACATGCATAAGGTTTCTCACCAGTATGAATTCTCTGATGTTCAATAAGCTGTGAACTAATTCTAAAGACCTTCTCACATTGAATACATTTGTATGGTTTCTCACCAGTATGAATTCTCTGATGTTCGGTTAGCTGTGAATGAAATCGAAAATCCTTGCCACATTCCATACATTTGTAAGGTTTCTCATCAGTATGGATTTTCTGATGTCTAGTAAGTTGTGCATGCACTCTAAAAGATTTCCCACAAAAAGGGCATTCATATGGTTTCTCACAATCATGAATTCTTTGAAATGAAGTGATTTCTTCAGTTCTTCTAAAAGTCCTTCCATATTCCTTACATTTATAGCACTTCTGATCATCACGGTGTACACTAAGGTCTTCATAAAAACTAAATACATTCCCACATTCCATACATTTACAAGGTTTCACACCAGTATGAATATTCAGTTGTAGGGCATGGGGGTCATCTACTCCAAAGGTTTCCCAATATTTACTACATTCAGAGGTTTTTTTACCACCATGTATTTTCTCATATTCATCAACGCTTAATTCACAACTAAGGACCTTCCCATATTGCTTATATTCAAAGGGCTTCTTGCTATCATGAAATCTCTGATGTAATGTAAGAAATTTGTGATTTTTGTAACTGGGCACCTTTTCAGAGATGATTTTTATTTGACTGAAACGTCCCACTTCAGGTCTTTGTACTTCAATCTTCCTTTTGTTTTGCCAATCATTTCTAAAAATGGAATTCTGAAGGCCAACTAATTTACTGTTTTCTCTTACTTCCCACTGAGAATTATTTTTTTCAAGAATGTCCTTTTCTACAGATAAAGTCTTTGTGTCATACTTGGATTCCAAGTCTGAAAGAAAGGGGGAAGAAAACAATTTCTTTTTTCATGTACCACAAAAATAAAAGTTATAAAATGCACAGTAGAAAAGCTGAAAATAATTCACAGCATAAATGAATGATTAAAATATTGTTATAAAGTGTGAAGAAAGGTAAAGAGAGCTCAGAGAAGGATAAGAATAAGGATGTGAAGTTTGTGATAAGAGATATGGATTGGCAATGGGTCTGAAATTTTGGTGTTGGATTATCACCTAGTAAACTTCTCAAACACTGATGTGCATGAACTAATCCATAATCCAGATAAACTGAATTAACATTTACAAATGTGGAATTTAGTTATTGGCTATCTTGTAGAGATACTGCAAGTACAGATGAAAATTTGATAACCTATACATTCTAACAGTTTTCTGAGATTTTTCTTTTATAATATAATCCTAATACTTTACCATGGATAACAAGGTTCTGCTTGTAAGACAGTACTTTAATCCATTATCCCCTTTCACCTAACCTTTTTCACCTCCTACATCAAACCACATTTCCTGTCATTTAGAGATACCCACAAGATGTTTCATTTCTCAGAAACAGACTCCTTATATACCATCTCCTTTTCATTGTCCAGGTCTAAAAGTTAGTACCCTCAGAAATGATGTACTACTAGCTGACTCTATGTAAGTTCATATATCCATCTCTATTCCAATATCTAGTTCCTTGCCCTCATACCCTTTTTTTTTTTTCAATTTTGTATTCTGAAATTTTCTCTGTTGTCATTCATACTATTTATTTCTTTATTCCTTAAACTGCAAAAAGACAAAATCATTTATTTTATGTGACACTGAATATCAAGGCTAAAAAAAAAAAAAAGAATATCAAGGCTAAAGGTCATAGTAGTTGACAGTTAGAAGAAAAGCAAATCACTGGTTGAAAGGAATTTAAGAATAAAAGCAAATATTACAAACATGTCACTGGAGAATACAACTATCAAAGTAACTATAAGAATAGTGCAATAGTTACAGCATGCCTCCATGCTTTTAAAAATATCACACTACACTACAGTGATTTTATATACACAAATTTATATACATATGAAATTTCTAATATAGTAAGATATATGTATATATATAATAATGTTTATAAATGACTGTCTTCTAATTGCCTCTCTACTTACACATATTGTCTCCATCATTGCTATTAATTTCCTCCTATGCATACTCATGAGTTTATCCCATATATGAATAAAGATTATGTTTTATTTACTTCTCTTCAGTAGTATTGTCACTATTATTCATCTATCCTACTGAAATCCTAGTTTATATTTACATATTTTCCTTCATGCTCTTTCCCAAATACTCCATTTTCTTATACTCAAAGCTAACCATTGCTATATTTCCCCCAAAATATCAGTGTTTTAGATATTATAATAGGTATATACCATATTTTAAGGCTTATGCAGTTCTGAGTAAAGCTGTAGCTGAAATGATATGTAAAAGTGGAGGTAGGAGGTGGGAAAAAAGGGAGGTGGAGGTGGGAAATAGTGTAAGGCACTTTGTAACAATCTGTTGGAACTAGCTGGAGATTGGCAATCAATGAGAGAACAACCTGAAGAAAATCCAAAGTGACTGATACACATTGTATGATAAAGAACAAAAATAATTTCCTGTGACTGAATTATGTTATGTATAATTAAGGTGAAATAATGCAAACATCTTATTTGACTGCAACAATAAAATCATAAATGAATGCCAGTATCAGTAAATTAAAAGTACTTCCTTTTAGAAATGAAGAAAGTTTCTATGAAACAACTGTTCAGTTGTTGTGGAAATGTATTGAAATTTCTGAAAATAGTGGCACTGAAAATATAACATATTGAAAACCCATGAAACAACATTAGTCACAAAGAAAGGATTTAAATGTTTATATTAATAAAAATGAAAGAATGAAAATAACCAATGTATACATCCCATTCAAGAAGATAGATGAGAACAAAGTGACCTAAAGAAAAGGTGAGGAGAGAATTGAATACATAGGGAATCAGAATGTGATGAGTTAGAAACATGTAAAGAATATAATTAACAAATATAAAATGTAAATGACAAGGGAAAGAACCATCACAGAGGGTATTTTTTAAAATGATATAAGATTCCTATGCTAATCAATTTGAAAATGTTGACATAAATTATTTTGTAGGTAAATAAATAGTGAAACCCTAGATGCCATAGAAGTTGAAAAAAAAAAAAGAACAATTTGCTAAAAAGAGATAAAATTGTCAGACTTACCTCCCATGAAACAAAAAATCTTAAGCATGCCTACTGTCTAAGTTGTAACAGTAAGCCAGATAATGAGTCAGGGCTCCTAAAATAAAGATCTGAGCCATAACCTGGAGCAGGGAAAGTAGAAGATATGCCCTTGATGGTTGTGACAGAAGCAAGAATGTTATATTAATGAATCATGACAAAAGACACAAAAATTATCTGAAGGAGACCACCATTTTGACAATGCAAGAATAGAAAAAGGGGAAAAAATACTTTGTGTACTAAAATATGTTAAGTAAACAACTAAATAAAATTTATAGCTAGTATTAATTTTTATTTTTTTTTATAGCTAGTATTAATTTTTCAAGATGAAGCAAAACACATAAAACGGGTGGAGAGGGAGGTGGGAGGGGGGACCGGGATGGGGAATACATGTAAATCCATGGCTAATTCATTTCAATGTATGACAAAAACCACTGCAATGTTGTAAAGTAATTAGCCTCCAACTAATAAAAATAAATGGAAAAATAAATAAATTAATAAAATAGTCAAAAAAACAAAAAAACACATAAAACATGGAAGTCCAGAAGAACTCACTTTTAACCAATTCAGATGTATGGTCTGGGATAGGGAAGATATAGAGTGAGCCTGGGGAAACTTCAGAAAGCAGTAATATATTCAAGAAATAAAGAATCAAGTCAATGGTACACAAAAATCTATAAGGAATTCCTTGGTATTTATACAGCTAGGTATCAACAATCAAAGGCTGTGATGGGCTAAAGTATACTAAACTAATGAAAATCAACAAATCCATAATGACACATAAGAGGTCAGTCAAATGGAGTTTCCCCAAAACATCACAGGGGCTCGCCTCCGCTTGAACAGGCTAGGCTTTTTATTCTGGTGATGACTTTCCTTGTTTCATCAAGTCTTTACTCTCCTGGCCCCGTTGACTTGTCACATCCCACACAACCCTTCATAGCAACTTCCTTTCCATCAATAAGGTAGTCACAACGTGCTTAGAAATGGAACACACTGCTTACAAGAAAGAAACGTAACATAATAAAACCTGCTTCTGAACTAATTAGCCATGTAACCTTGAAGAGGTAGCCTAAATATTCGTCTCTCTTCAAAGAAAAATAATGCAAGTAGTATTTATGTCATAGGGTTGCAGAATTAGGTAACTTAGTATATTAAAAGGGCTTAAAACAGGGCCTGGTACAAGGCAAGAACTACATGAGCTGAGAGGAAAACAGCTTTCTAAAACATTAAGAGGTCCTTGCTGGAATTCTGACTTAATGTTAAATGCAAAGTTCTTTAATCTCATAGCAGGTGTAAGACAATACTTGTATCAGGCAATGAATATGAATTCTGTTTGCCAATCTAACTATAAATTACACAGATTCTTTTGATAATCATATCAAATCAAGACAGTATCTTAGCTGTTCTCCCAGAGGTGGGTAAGGGAATAATGTAAAGAACTTAAAGTAATTCTGGGCTCAAACAAAATACAATAGATACCTTAAAGGATATACTCTATGTAACCTATAATCAGATCTAGCTCTCTGGATATCAAGGAAGGCAGAAATTATATGAAGAAACTAAGAAGGGACTTCATACAAATTATATGAAGAATGATGAAGGTTCTAAAAGGAGGTGTCATCTCCAAAACCATGCTCAATCCATGCATTTGGAAACTTGGAGAAGAAATTCATCTAGTGTAGCATTGAGTTAACTGAATGTCAACTGATAGTCTATAGAAAATATTCTAAATTATATGAATAGCCAAATTTACCCAGTGAGACCAAGTTGCTGTAATTTTCCATCATCACATCCCAGTACAAGTCCCTCTGAGCAGAATCCAGATATTCCCACTCCTCCTGAGAGAAGCTGATGACCACATCCCTGAATGTCACCAGTTCCTAAAACAAGAAACCACATATTACATGTAAAATTGAAGGAAACATTTTTGACTAATAGATAAAAAAGAATTGAATTAAACTATTATATATAGAATGGATAAACAACAAGAGCCTACTGTATAGCACAGGGAATTATATTCAATATCTTGTAATAAACCATAATGAAAAGAATATGAAAAAGAATATATTTGTATAACTGAATCACTTTGCTGTATAGCAGAAATTAACATTATAAATGAACATTGTATGTCACATGCCTGTGGCATGAATTATCAATGATGATGAATTTCCACATCCTTGTTCCTTGGTATAGGAAAAATATCTAGCTTAGAAAATAGGGTATGAACAATATTTTAAAATTTCTTACAACCCCAAGTTCATCACTGTTAATCACCATTTCACATTATATAAGAATTATAACTTCTAATGAGAAATTATTTATTAAGCACTTTTTAGTGGCTGCAGAGTAGTGTGTTTGGTGAAAATATACCTGCCATAATTATATTTAGGCATAGGTTGGATAAGGTCTTCTCCAATTCTGAAATCAATAATAATCTACTGTTTATATCTGAGACTGCTGCTGCTGCTAAGTCACTTAAGTCGTGTCCGACTCTATGTGACCCCATAGAAGGCAGCCCACCAGGCTCCCCAGTCCCTGGGATTCTCCAGGCAAGAACAATGGAGTAGGTTGCCATTTCCTTCTCCAATGCATGAAAGTGAAAAGTGAAAGTGAAGTCGCTCAGTTGCATCGGACTCTTCGCGACCCCATGGACTGCAGCCTACCAGGCTCCTCTGTCCATGGGATTTTCCAGGCAAGAGTACTGGAGTGGGGTGCCATTGCCTTCCCCATGTCTGAGACTAACCAACATCAAATCCAATCTACCTGGAAAATCAGGTCTGTTCAGAAGTAGAGTTTGCTCATATGTCATTAAATGGATACATTTGCTCTTTTTCTCAAGAGTATGTAAAAGGATGGTAAATGCCTCCCTCTGGGGATTCTATTTCTACCCTATAACTGCTCTGAACAAAAAATCTATACATAGGAATACTGAACATTATTTGGAAAAGAGATAGGCACATAGAAGGTACAGTGTGCCGTTGACTCCAGCTCTCACTAGAAAGTGAAAATGGGGATTTTCATGAGGATGTGGGGGGTAGGCTCTTAAAGCTGTTTTCTTGGAAGATTCAGATAAATGAAATGTTCACAAAGGAGAGAAATAGCAACTTACATGGTCCATGGTTAGAACTGTAAAGAATTGATCGAGGAATTCCACTTCTGGTATGACAGCATGAGGAGTTCTATGGAGATTGTCCCCATTGAAACTGGTGAAAATTATATATAAAAACATACAGCAAATGAAGAAACATTTGTTCAAGAAAATCTAATAAAACTTACTAAGAACTGTAAAAGTCTGCAGTATCTGAACCTAATCTGCACCCCTCCTTATCCCTCCATCCTAGTGAGAAAGATTCTTTTCCAAACTAGTACAACTAAGGACACAAACTTCCTCACTCCTCCTCAATCCCTGCTCCCAGTCAGATCTTCCTGGGAGGAGTAGAACATCAGCATTTCTCATTTGCCCCCAGCTACCTTTGCTCAGGCAAATGCAACTAAGCCATGCAACTGCCTGGCAGCCACCTAAGAACTGTAGGCTGTACCTTGGGTGTGGCACTACTGAGAATACTGGGGTTCCAATTGTCTTTGCCTTGGCTCATGGCGTAGGAGTTCCATGCCAAGAGAGGGAAGCTGAGACCCAAGACTACCGAGCAACACCCTCCATATCCCTCTCCACTTGCAATGGAGTGTGGTGAAGTTCAAGGGTAAGGGCAGTCTCAAAAACAGTGGAAATTTTAGTGAAAGGCTATAAAGATTGAAAAATTCATTGGAGATAAATGCTAAACTGTAGGCAGGCTAGTTTGTCAGAAGGGATCAGAGAAAGATACTTGGGGAGCCCTTCCTATTGTCAGAACAAATCTCAAATACTGACTTGATTTCCTTAGTCTGTGAAGCAGTGTATCCCAGGGCATTACTGAAAATAATAGTGCCATCAGTCACAATTAGCGGATCCTAACAGCTTGGTGTGGTCAGGTAAAGAGACATTCAAAGAGCCTTGTCAAAACCACTGTCATCCAAGGGTGACTGTGGTAATAGTCAAGTCTATACTCCAAGGAGCAATATTAGAGATTTACACTATAGGGGAGATAGATTTCACTTAATTAGTCTAGCCAGTTACTAAATAAGAAATATAAATAATGATAACAAGCCTGGGGAAGGGAAGGAGACAAAAGTATCACAGTTGAAATAAGCATCTAAAAATGTCAACTTTCCATAAATAAGAGACAGGAAAATATAACCCATAAACCAAATACAAAACCAACAATAGAAACTGCCTGTGAAAACAACTAGATTGAACACAGGATTCAAAGTAACAACTATAAATATGTTCAAATAAACAATAAAAATGCTTAAAAGTAAATGAAGGTATAATCATAATGTCATACAAATAATCTGTGAAGAGACAGAAGTTATTTAATATCACCAGGGAGTTGGTGATGGACAGAGAAGTCTGGTGTGCTACAGTCCATGGAGTCCCAAAGAGTCAGACATGACTGAGCAACTGAACTGAACTGAACTGAACTGAGTATCACCAGATGTAAATTCTGAATACTGAAGTTGAAAAGTATAACCAAAATGAAAATTTCACTAGAGTGTCTCAACATTAGATATGAACTAGACAGAAAAAAAGTATTAGCAAACTTAAAGGTATCTCAATAGACATCATGCAACCTGAAGAACAACAACACAAAACCAAGAAAAATGAAAAGAGCTTCAGAGAAATGTTGGAAACCATTAAGCACACTCTTGTAATAGATGTAACAGAAAAGAGTAAAGGAGCATTTTAACATATTAAATAATGGATGAAAAGTTCCTAAATTAATTGAAAAATGTTAATCTATATATCCAGAAAGCGTGATGAACACCAAATAGAATAAATTCATAGAGATCTACAAACAGACAAATCATGGTAAAAATGGTGAAATATGAGAGAATCTGGAAAGCAGAAAGGAAAATTAGTTGTCACTTAAAAGTGAATCCCTAATAAGTTTACTTGATGACATTGCATAGAAACAATGGAGACCAGAAGGCAATGGGATAATATATACAAAGTGCTCAAAAAACTTTCAAAGGAGCTATTTTTCAAATGTGAAGATGAAATAAAGACATTACCAGATAAAGAAAAACTGAGGGAATTAATTCAATGCTAGCAACCCTGTCTTAAAGAAATACTCAAGGGAGTTCTTCAGGTTAAAAGTAAGTCCCAGGTAGTAATATGTATTCATGTGAAAAAAACAAAGAGCACTAGTAAAGGTAATTATGTAATTATAAAAGATAGTACACATACATGTTTCTTCTTCACTTAACTGATTTATGTGGCAAATTTATGTAATTTTTCTTCTAGAAACAAAAGAAATACATACCCAGGTTTAAAATTCCTCAACAAAATATTAGCCAACTGAACTCAACAATACATTAAAATGATCATATACCATGATCAAGTGGGATTTATCCCATGGATGCAAGAATGGCTCACCATCCCCCAAACAATATGATACAACATATTAACAAAGTGAGGGATAAAACCCACATAATCATTTGAATAGATGCATAAAAAATATTTGACAAAAATTAAACATCCATTTATGATAAAAACTCTCAGCAAAGTGGATATAGAGGGAACATACTTCAGCATAATAACAAGTTCATAGCAATGTCATACGTAATGGTGAGAAGTTGAAAGCTATTCCTCCAAAATCAGGAACAAGACAAAGATGCCCACTCTTGCCACTTTTATTCAACACAGAATTAGAAGTCTTAGCCACAGCAATTACATTTTTTTAAAAAAGGAAGAAAGAAATAAAAGGTATACAAATGAGAAAAGAAGTAAAACTGTCACTATTTGCAGATGAAATGATACTATATACAGGAAGACCCTGAAGATTCCATCAAAAAACTTAGAAGTAATAAATTTAGTAAAGTTGCAGGATACAAAATCCATATACCAAAAATCAGTTGCATTTCTATAGACTTATAATGAGCACTCAGAAAAATTAAGCTATCCTGTGCTCATTGATTGGAAGAAAAAAAAAGTTGGATTCCAAATTACATTCCAAAGCTATAGTAATCAATATAGTATATTATTTAAAAAAAAAAAAAGCCATATACACAGGCCAGTGGAATAGAATAAGGGATCAGAAAATAAACCCAAGTATTATACTTATGGTCAATTTATGACACAAGAGCCAAGAATATACAACATAATAAGGATAGGCTCTTTAACAGATGGTATTGGGAAAAGGGACAGTAATATGGAAAAGCATGAAGCTAGATCACTATTTTGCACCATACATAAAGTCAAAATGGATTAAAGACTTGAACATAAAACCTGAAACCATAAAACTCCCAGAAGGTAATATCATGGGTAAACAACTTGACATCAGTCTTGGCTGTGATTCTTTTTGGATATAGCATGAAAAAAGCAACAAAAGCAAAAATAAAAAAGTGGGACCACATCAAACTAAAAAACTTTGTGCACCAAAGAAAACCATCAACAAAATGAAAAGGCAACCTACTAATAGAAAATATTTGCAAATCAAATTACTGATAAGGGGTTAATATCCAAAACACATAAAGAACTCATACAACTCAATAGGAAAAAACCAAACGATTCAATTTTAAAAATGGGCAAAGGGTCTGAATAGACGTTTTCCCGAGGAAAACAGATTCCAAACATGTACATGAAAAGGTGCTCAACATCATTAATCAGGGAAATGCAAATCAAAACCACAATGAAACCTCATCTCAACCTTCAGAATGGTGATTATCAAAAAGGCAAGAGGTAACAAATGCTGGTGAGGACACAGAGAAAGGGAATTCTTATGCACTGTTTGTGAAACTGTTAACTGGTGAGGCCACTGTGGAAAACAGAATGGAGGGTCCTTTTGCATTGACAGGCAGACTCTTTACCACTGAGCCACCAGGGAAGCGAGGGTCCTTTAAAAAATTAAAAACAAATACCATATGATTTTGCAATTGCACTTCTGAGTATTTTTCTTAAGGAAGTTAAAATATTGACTCAAAAAGATTTATGTACCCTCAAGTTCATGCAATATTATTTATTTAAGAAAGTAATGAAAACAATGTAACTGTCCATGGATGGATGAATGAGTAAAGAAAATGTCACACACACATACACACACCCTCACACAAATGGAATATTATTCAGCCATAAGAAATAAAATCTCGCCATTTGTGAAAACATGGATGAACCCTGAAGACACTGTAAGAGCAAGACAAATACTGTATGATCTTACTAATATATGAATTCTAAAAAAACAAAAGACAAACTCCTAGACACTGAAAAGAGATTGGTGGCTGCTAGAGATGGGGGTGAGAGGGTGGGCAAAATGGGTAAAGGTGGTCGAAAAATAGACTTTTAATTCTTAATAAATCATGGGGATAAATTTTTACCGTGATGACTATAGTTAATAATACTGTATTGTATATTTGAAAGTTTCTAAGAGAATAAAAAAGTTGCTGAATCTTAAATGTTCTTATTACAATGAAAAAATGACTTATAACTTTGTATAGTGAAACAGATTTATTGTGGTCTTTTTACAATATGTACAAATATTGAATCATGTTCACTTGAAACTAATATAATGTTATATGTTAATTATGTCTCCAAAAAAATGAAAAAAGCCCCACATGCCTAGAGAGAAAATTTTTGGAAGAATGTATATTATGTTATTAAGAATGATTATTTCTAGATGGTGGGATTGTGGGTAATTATTGACTTATAAGTTCCTTAAAAATTGAATATTTTACAACCTGCATCAATTCCACCATCAGACATATATAAAAGAGCTATTTCTACATAAAAGACTTAACAGAGTTGGAGAGAAGCTTTCCTTTTGTTTAAGAACATAATGAGCACAAAAGATCTTCAAAATGGCTGGGAACATGAAGGAAATTTGTGACTGAAATAAATTACTTCTACAAACGTGAACATCCTTTTGTTTTATTACACCAATGCAATAGGATACATTCACTATACACATACTTGAATTAACAAAATTAAAGATGGTAGTAGCATTTTCAGCCTAAATAAGAAAATGTATGTAAAAGAGGCAGAAATGTATTTGGTACAGTGTATGTGCTTATTGTGCTGAGTGCTCAGTCATGTCTGACTCTTTGTGACCCCGTGGACTGTAGTCTGCTAGGCTTCTCTGTCCATGGAATTCTCCAGGCAAGAATACTGGCGTGGGTTGCCATTCCCTTCTGCAGGGATATACTTATTATATATGACTTAATTTTTTAAGTTTTATTATGCAAAAACTAATATTATTTTAGATATATAAGATTGATTATAAATGCAATCTTAGTAAAACAGATTCATATACAATATTAACAATTAGGAGTGTTCTTTTTCCTATGTAAAAAGTTTGTCTTATCTACATGGTATTATATCACATTTATGTAATATGATTAACTTAGTTTTTAAGATTATATACAGTTATATAAATCCATGAAGTTACAGATATTCTGCAAACAAAACCAAACATACCAAAAAAAAAGTTAGGAACTATATAGAATAATTTTGAACATAATTTCAACAGATTTGTGGTCCTTTATGAGTACCAAAATGGAATTAAATTGCCTTAAGAATTTCTATTATGGATATTTGCACAAATCTGGCTGTTAAAAATTCCTTCTAAGTCCTCATTAAAATTAACTTTATATTTTCATTACTCTTTAGTTAAGAAATTTATGAAGAATATTTAGAATTGCCACATAATAGCAACTTTTCTTTCTTGAGAATTTAATTAAGTACAAGGTATTTAGTAAGGTGCTGTAGGGCTATGCCCAGATAAATGTATTCAATCTTCATAAAATCTATAAGGCACTGATGTGATTATTATGAACATTTTATAACAAGAAATTACAAAATTGAGAGCCTAATAACTATTGACCTCCTTGAAATATTGCGAGTTTGAACAAGCAGCAGAATTTTAAATTAAGTTTTAATTAAAATAGAAAAGCAATATAAAATGTTTTTCAGTTAAACACAATTTTATCGTTTTGATGTGAGCATATTTCACCTTGGGCTTCCCACGTGGTGTTACTGGTGAAGAACTCACCTGCCAGTACAGGAGACCTAGGTGACATGGACTTGATCCCTGGGTTGGGAAAATCCTCTGGAGGATGGCATGGCAACCCACTCCAGTATTCTTGCCTGGAGAATCCCATGGACAGAGGAGCCTGGTGGGCTATGGTCCATGGTCACAAAGAGTCAGACACGACTGAAGCAACTTAGCATGCACGCATGCATACTTCACCTTAACCACTGAAAATTTAGTATCCAAATTGAGAAGTGCTGTAACAATAAAATATGCATCAGATTTTGAAAACTTAGTATGAAGGTATGAATGTAAAATACTTAAATTTATTTATGTCATTTTATGTTGAAATAATATTTTAGATATATTAGTTCAAATAAGATGCATTATCAAAATTAATTTCAACTGTTTCCTCCTACTTTTAAAAATGTGTTCAATAGAAATTATAAAAGTACATAAGTGGCTTTTGTTATATTTCCACTAGTGTTGCTTTAGACTCAAATACCACTATGCCACACTGCCTATCACAGTCTACACCAATATATGGTCTGAAACTAAGTCTACTGCCAAATCTCAAACAAGACTTGGTTATCACCACTCAACACTCCCCATGGATTTTCTGGAAAAATTCCCTGTCCTCGTACACACATACCTCTCTTCACAAAACTCCAATCATATACCCACTTCTAAATGTCAAAGTCAACTTTTTCACTTACTGGTTGAAGTCAAACCACTTCCTACCTTGCTTTATTTGGAAATCAAAGGTATCTGCTATGTTATTATACCTAGCCACAGATCTCTTCCTTAAATCACATTCTAAAATAAGTCTTTCATTTATCCTCCACTAGTTGTATTTTTATGCCTTCCTTTGGAAAGAAAAGCACGCGGGATTACTGAATGATTTACCCAGTGGGTATGGGAATATTAACTGGAAAGGTAAAGGGTGCTTGGAAAAGCACTGAAAGATAAGGTGTCTATCTGTATGGCCCTGTTACTAATTGGGAAGGGAAAGCCTAGAACCAGGAAAGTGGATAAGTCACAATTAGGGAAACTTAGGAGAAGGAAAGCAATACTTTAATACTCTGTAAAACAAAAGTGTATGACAACAAAAAGCAAACACGAACTGACCTTGTATGGGCCGTTAAACGAGTAGCAGTGCTCTCCACCTCAGAACTTGCAGAACTACAGGACCAAGAAGAAGGACTTGTGAGACCCTAGACTGGCTAAAAGTTGTGATGAACACATTGTCCACCAACAGACATGACCCATCACCCACCACAAATACAACCAGATGGAAATGGGAAATTAGAATACTGCTGATTTTGCTAGTATCAGAGAAAAAGGTAAGCGCCACCTATGCCCAAAGCTGGAATCTAAGTTCACAGCAGTTTCTGGAGGGCACAGGACAGGGAATGCTGTGGTTCTGAAATGTGTCAATGGCCTCCATAATGCATCCAAGGGAGTTTTACCCGGGAAGGGATGCTACACCTGTGTCCCCCCCCCCCCCCCCCCCCGCTTCAAGTCTTCCCAGAAACCTGTGTTGAAAACAGATGCAAGCCTCAATTCTAATCCCATGATTTCGGAGGTAATTTTCTATTGGGAACTCTCATTATAAGAATGAAATTCATGACTCACTCTAGTGAACTTTTCTTCACAGCTATATCCAATTAGCTATTTGGTGTGAGGACCGAAGAGAATCCAGGGAAACACAGTCCAAGAAACCATGGAACCTACAATTATACCCTGGGTGGGCAACATTCACTTCACCGGTGTCCTCTCTGTGTTAAGCATTAGGCTGGGTACTCAGACGTGCTGATACAGCTTACACACACACACACACACACGTGTAAAAAAAAAATTCACACATTCCTAGTGCACTGAAAAAAACTCAAAATTTCAACAAGCTAATTGAAAAAACAAACTCCATTTTCTTGACAGTCATAACAGAGATGGTACCGGACCACGTGGTCACAATGTCAGTCACACACCCTCGTTGCCTTGGTGATGTGAACCACGGTAGGCTCCGCCCCCACGGACAGTGCCACGACCCCAATCAGATACGAGTCACGCCATCCCAGGGCCCCAACACACACTAGCTCTCACTGGCTCGCTGGCTCTCACACACGCACAAGCGAGAACACTCCACAAAGACGCCGTCACGAACAATAGCACCCGCAACCTTGGTCGTCCGCCTCTCACGCAGACACAGGCTCCTGGCTCCACACGCCCCATCCGTCCTCCGCGAACTTGACCCCATCCTCCCCGATCACCGCCAGCCCCTCCTGCGGCCTGACCAGGTTCATCTCAACTCACCAGGCATAACCCAATAACCGTCACGACTCAAGAAGGGGAGCCCAAGGTCGAAGTTCATTCGAGGCTCTGGGGCCTGTGGGAAACGTAGTCCAACACAGAAAACGTCCAGCCCTCCGAGCAGAGCGTGACGCCCACCAGCAGCTGAGGCCCTTCCGAGCCTCCGACTCCCGGGAATTCCAGGGTGTGCGGATCGCTCGCCGATGGCGAGGAGTGGGCCTTTCAGACGCCGAAAAGCCAGGTGATGCTCCTCTGTTAGCTAGGGGAGGTCGTGGAAGGAAGGAAAGCCCAAGCCGAAGAAATAATTGCAAACCTGGGCCAGGGAGGGCAGTAAAGGGAACTCGGGGTGGGCAGAGGAAGCAAGCGAAAAAAGCCTTGGACTGGTAGGGCCCGGTAAGAATCAGAAGCCCAGGGCAGAGGGACTCGGGACCCCGGCTGAGAAGGGCCGGGGAGGGAATCGTGAATCCCTGCCGAGGGAGGCAGGGCTAAGAAGGGCTGAAACCGTGCAGAGGCCGGGGCGAGAACCTCACTTAGACCGGCGAGACCCTAGGTCGTGAACCAGAGGACAAGGATTTTGTTGTTTTTGTCAGGTTTGCCCCTTGAGAACGCCCCAACACCCAGATCAGCACTTAGCAGACACCCAGTGTATTGAGTGTATGCCCGCCCTCGTGAGTGTTTTATATCATCATTGCTTCAGCTTCAATTCCCTGGTGTCCTTTTCCAGTCAGTCTCACAGGGAGACAGCCATGGTTCTGATATGTGTCATATTAATTTAGTTCTGTCAGTTCTCCAGCTCCAATTGTCTCCTTTAGCTCATTCTTGTTCTTTAAGATTTATGGATGTTGTGTTCATCTTTTTTTTTCCTTCCGGACAGCATTCCAATGTGCAAATGTGGCACAATTTGTTTCTTCATTTTTCTCTTTATGAGCGTTTAGTGTATTTTCAGGTTTTATATATTATGATAACGATGGCATGTTTCCATTTCTCCTAGGGAAATACCTAGAGGAAAAAAAATGCTGATAATAGATTAAGTTTATATTTAACTTTCTAAGAAGCTGACAAACCTTGTAGGATGATTAATTTTGTATGGGAAACTGTGTGACTATGTAGTAAGTGGTTTCTCTGTTTGCTTTGGAATTCTGTGGAATTATGCGATGGGCTCAGTGGAGTTAGGAATATCGTGTAGGATCCATGTTGTGGTTTTGTGCAGTGGGTGAGATCATAGGAAACAATGTGCTGTACCAACTCTTACTTATAATGATTTTTATGTGTTCATTCTATGTTGACTGTGAAACTGGATCATAAGTGATATTAATGAATGAGAGACTCTATGTGTCTAGTTAGGTACATGTCATTTTGATTCTGCTTGTAGAATTATGACTGTTACTGATCAAGTAAAATAGCAGTATAAGCTATATCCAAAGGAAATGAAAACAGGCTATTAAAGAGATACCTGACTCCTATCTTCACCACAGCAGTATTCACAATAGCCAAGATGTGAAGACAACCTAAGTTTCTCTCACTTTCTGCCATTAGAGTAGTATCATCCACATATCTGAGGTTGTTGATATTTCTCCCAGCAATCTTGATTCCAGCTTGTGATTCATCCAGCCCGGCATTTCGCGTGATGTACTCCGCATATAAGTTAAATAAGCAGGGTGACAGTATACAGCCTTGTGGTACTCCTTTCCCAATTTTGAACCAGTCTGTTGTTCCATGTCAGTTTTAACTGTTGCTTCTTGACCTGCATACAGGTTTCCCAGGAGAAAAGTATTCCCATCTCTTTTAAAAATTTTCCACAATTTGTTGTGATGCATACAGTCAAAGGCTTTAGAGTAGTCGATGAAGCAGATGTTTTTCTGGAATTACCTTGCTTTCTCCATGATCCAACAAATGTTAGCCATTTGATCTCTGGTTCCTCTGCCTTTTTAAAATCCTGCTTATATGCTGGAGAGGGTGTGGAGAAAAGGGAACCCTCTTACACTGTTGGTGGGAATGCAAATTAGTATAGCCACTATGGAAAACAGTGTGGAGATTTCTTAAAAAGCTGGAAATAGAACTGCCATATGACCCAGCAATCCCACTTCTGGGCATACACACCGAGGAAACCAGATCTGAAAGAGACACGTGTACCCCAATGTTCATCGCAGCACTGTTTATAATAGCCAGGACATGGAAGCAACCTAGATGCCCATCAGCAGACGAATGGATGAGGAAGCTGTGGTACATATACACCATGGAATATTACTCAGCCATTAAAAAGAATTCATTTGAATCAGTTCTAATGAGATGGATGAAACTGGAGCCCATTATACAGAGCGAAGTAAGCCAGAAAGATAAAGACCATTACAGTATACTAACACATATATATGGAATTTAGAAAGATGGTAATGATAACCCTATGTGCAAAACAGAAAAAGAGACTCCTATGTATAGAACAGACTTGTGGACTCTGGGAGAAGGCGAGGGTGGGATGTTTCAAGAGAACAGCATTGAAACACGTATATTATCTAGGGTGAAACAGTTCACCAGCCCAGGTTGGGTGCATGAGACAAGTGCTCGGGCCTGGTGCACTGGGAAGACCCAGAGGGATTGGGTGGAGAGGGAGGTGGGAGGGGGGACCGGGATGGGGAATACATGTAAAAAAAAAAAAAAAAAAAAAAGATACACTATGGTTGTGATAAAAAATAAATAAACAAACAAACAAATAAATAAATAAATAAATTTAAAAAAAATAAAATAAAATCCTGCTTATATGTCTGGAAATTCTTGGTTCATGTATTGCTGAAGTCTAGCTTGAAGGATTTGAGTATAACGTTGCTAGTATGTGAAATGAGCTCAGTTGTATGGCAGTTTGAACATTCTTTGGCATTGTTATTCTTTGGGATTGGAATGAAAACTGACCTTTTCCAGTCCTGTGACCACTGCTGAGTTTTCCAAATTTGCTGACATATCGAGTGCAGTACTTTCACAGCATCATCTTTTAGGATTTGAAATAGCTCAGCTGGAATTCCATCACCTCCACTAGCTTTGTTCATAGTGATGCTTCCTAAGGCCCATGATGTCTGGCTTTAGGTGAGTGACCATACCATCATGGTTATCCAGGTTATTAAGACCCTTTTTGTATAGTTCTTCTGTGTATTCTTGCTACCTCTTGTTAATCTCTTCTGTTTCTGTTAGGTCCTTACCATTTCTGCCCATTGTCGTGCCCATGCTTGCATGAAATGTTCCCTTGATATCTCCAATTTTCTTGAAGAGATCTCTAATCTTTCCCATTCAATTGTTTTCCTCTGTTTCTTTGCACTGTTCATTTAAGAAGGCCTTCTGATTTCTCCTTGCTATTCTCTAGAACTCTGCATACAGTTGGATATATCCTTCCCTTTCTCCCTTACCCTTTTGCTTCTTTTCTTTCCTCAGCTATTTGTAAGGCCTCCTCAGACAACCAGTTTTTTTCCTTCTTGTTTTTAATTAATTAATTAATTTGGTGTGCCAGGTTTTAGTGGCAGCACACAGGATCTTTCAGTTGTGGAATATGGAATCTAAGTTCCCTGACCAGGGATCAAACCTGGGCCCCCAACACTGGAAGCATGGAGTCTTAGCCACTGGATTACTGGGAAAGTCCCCCATTTTGCCTTCTTCCATTTCTTTTTCTTTGGCATGGTTTTGATCACTGCCTCCTGTATGGTGTTATGAACAATGAGTGCATTTGTGGATACATCCTTTGTTAATCTTTGGTTTATATTAATAATATCCTGAGGCTGTTACTAGGTACAAATTCATGACTAGTGTATCTTCTTTTTAGGTTTAAACTTTTATCATTATAAAACATCCCCCCATATAAATGACTTTTATATCATTTATAAAACACTATA